ATCATTGAGCTTTCTCCTTCAATGTGTTAACTGAGGGACCACAGGAGTGGCTTTTCCAATATTAAAGCCGCCTTTCTTCCCTGATGTGCTCAGCTTGCTGGGCCCCTGTTACCTTCCCTACATATTTCGGGTTCAGTTGTGAATCCTTGTGTTTGGGATGGTTCCAGTTTTATTCCCGAACAGGGTGAGTTTCTCAGCCTAGCTGGCAGGCCCCCGGGAGCAGACCACTTACCAGGCTCTGGGAGCTCTGAGCCTGTGACCCCATCTGATGGGTTTTTGTAGGGCCTCCAAGAGGAGCTCGGGGCCAGTGGTCTGCACTGGACCTCCAGCTGCAGGTGGCACGGGGTTCCATTGCCGCTTGTGGGGACGCAGCTTCAGGAGAAAGTCACAGCTGAGGGACAGCGCGAGGATGTCAGGGGGCACAGCCCATGGTAGGGCTCCCTCCTGGAATGGGGGTCTTGCTTCCAGAAAGAAGGGGGGAGCCTGAGACCCTGCAGAGGAAGAGGCAGGGCCCAGAGACGGGGCTCCCACGAAGGGGGTCACCTGTGTCCAGGGCTACCAGAATGTGGCCAGGGTCTGTGTGAGGTCAGTGGGCAGAGGGAGTGGGTGGGAGGCCAGGGCATGATCAGATGTGGCTGGGGGGAGGGGCTCCTCCAGGAGCACAGTGGGTTACCAGGAGCCCCTATCACAGAAGTTCCCTGGTGTCCCTAAGAGCCAAGCAGGGTGGTGTGGAGTGGGGTGTGGAGCAAGGCTGCTGGGTGCAGAGGGGGTCTCCAGCTGGGGAGACAAGAATATGGGACCCTGGTGGGGTTGGGGTCCTGGGTGGCACTGTGTGCCATCTGTGCTGGGCCCCCCCGCAGGAATGAGAAGGAGACCCAGCCAACAGTGTCCCCAGACGCTCCTTACCTGCGGGCTGGGCCTGAGGCTACGCAGGTCTAGGCTCACCTGGAGTCTCAAAGGGACCAACGGGCCAACCACAGAAGAGTGGCTGCTCCCATTTGTAAGAAATGCAATTTTAATGCAGCAATCACATAAGAAATGATAAATATGCCATTATGATGATTTTGGTTGGCTTCCAGAGGGGCTGCGTCTGTCTAAACAGCACCCGAAACACAGTAGGTGTTCAGCAAACAGATGAAGAGGGGACCGTGCAGAATCACTGGCTTGGAGGGTAAAAACACGGGTTTCCTTCCCCTCTTCGGGAAGAGCTAGTGTGTGATTCCTTGGGGTATAAAAGTAAGCTTGTGGGGGTGAGGAGGTGTGTGCAGCATTAAAGTCACATTAAATACTTAACGTCCACTTCTTGTATTGTCAGCAAAAGCACAAACAGACTCAAAACCTTTGTCTCTTTATGCATAAGATGTTTTCCTAAACCATATGAATGAAATTCACAACCAGAAGTTACGATGATGGACCGGACGTGACATTTTTCACTTCTGATTTCTTACTTTTGAAGTTCAGTTGCTCACAGCAGCTTAGGTAGAGTGCAGGGGTTTTTTGGACTGGTTACTTGCATTATTTTAACTGTTTTGAGTATGTCATATGGTCATGGCCCTTCTCTGGGTGCTAGGCGCTGAATTTGTATCCCTCAGAATTCCTAAGTTAACGTCCTAACCCCCACCGTGGTGGTATTTGGAGATAGGATCTCTAGGAGGTAATTAAGGTTCAATGAGGTCATAAGGGTGGGCCTGATCGAATGGGGTGGCCCTATAAGAAGAGGATGAGAGAGCTCTCCCTCTCTCTTCCCTCCTCCTTGCTCTGAGGACAGACCACTGAGGGCACAGCGCCCCCCCCCCCCCATAAGCCACCAGAACTGGACTCAGTCAGAACCTTGCTCTTGGACTTCCAGCCACAACTGTGAAGAAATAGACTTCTGTTGCGTGAGCCCCCATTCGTGGCACCTGCTCTGGTGGCCCACGCAGACTAAGACAATGTACGTGCCGGCAAACCTACAGGTGACCCAGGCCACTGGGGAGGTGTGGGGAGGGGAGGAAGCACCTGATGGCGGGGCTGGGGAAGGCGATCATCTGATAGTCATACACACGCCGGGTCCCAAGGATGCGTCCCCAGACGGCCCACCACACACGCACACGCCCAGGCCCCCAGGTGCACGTGGCCTCGCGGTTGTGTGAGCTGCGCACAGCACGACTCTGAGGGGCACCGTTCGCAGTTCTGCCGGGTGTGGATGGCAGGCCTGCAGCTCTGCGTGAAGCCACATCTCAGTCAGAGGCAGAGAGGCGTGGGGCTGCCCACCCGCCCCGTGGCCCCTGTCCACGGGGGGGCACTGACGGAGAAGTGGGCCAGCCAGGGGTGGGTGTCAGGAGGCAAGGCGCTCCACTTCCCCAAGCGCACTCCCGCGTGTAAGGGAGGCTCAGGCAGAGGCAGCCTCTGGCCCAAAGCTTTTCAGGAGTGCAGGCACTCATCCTACAAGTGCCCACAGATCCTGCCACGTAGCCCCGTAAGTTCGCACCATTTCAGGGGCTTGCTTCGGACTCTCCATTGGGCACCCCTTTTCCTTGTCCCTGGGCATCTTCCGGCCAGCTCTGCAGCACAGCGCCTGGGGGACATTCACCAGCACCCACGTTCAGACCGGACCCATGAGTCCACACGACGATGTTCAGCTCTCCTGCCCTTTGAACCACTTCCCGGGCCTCAGATGCAGCCCCTCGCAGGAGAAATGGCGTGAGCTCTTAGGACAAACTCCTGATGAAAACCCCAGAGGGTGGAGTGACCAGATGTTCTGGTGGGAACTTGGCCTTCCTGTGGAATGCAAGGACACCATCTTCAAAGAGACACTCCTCCTAAAGGCTTCACTCAAGAACCATGAGGAAAGAACAGAGAAGTGTGTCTGGGCTGGAGGTAACCCAATCTTGTCCCACTGGCACTCTCTCTGGGACAGGAGGCTGAGAATGGTGCTGGGGAGAGAAACAGAGACACAGCTGAGCTGGAAGCAACCCCACAACCGTTCATGGCCCTCAAGGCCACCCCAGCAGCCAGTCACACCCTCCTATTGTTGGACACTGTGCCTAGCTCATTCCAGCCCCCCTCCGCTTGAGCCTGGCCCTCCTCCCTCTACCGAGGATCCCTGCACTATCGCAGAGGCCCTTTCATCTGGACAGTCCTCCAAGGACACCCAGGGAGGACTGGAGTCCTCTGCAGCATCCTCCCATAAGGTCACCCAGACGTTCAGTGCTCAGCCACCCTGCCAGTTCGCCCAGCTGGGCATGATTTCAGTGGACTCTACTACACAACTGACAATCACCTCCCACCAACAAGAAACTGGGGACAGAACCCAAGGAATAAAGCCGTCCAGCTCAGCTCCATCCAGCTCCAATCTCCTGGCACCCTGACCTACGTTCTGATATTAGAAGATGCATCCATCTGTCCACCCACCCACCTGCCCACCTACCCCTATGTCCACCCACCCACCTGCCCCCCACCTGCCCACCCACCCCTATGTCCATCCACTCAACCAATTTCCCCTGAGTGTTCCTGGATGCCAGGTGCCATTTCAGGAAGGGGGATGCAGCCATGAGCCTTGTGGGCCTTGTGGAGCCTCTCACTCATGGAACAGACATTCCCACGGACAGGACAATCATCAGTCAAACTGAGTGGATGGCAGGTCAGAAGACGTGGAGGAACACAGCCAGGAGGGAGGGGAGCTCAGATGTCACAATTGTGAGCTGAGAGATCAGCTATGGGACAAGGACCTTGGGAAGTGGAGGGGGTGCAAGTTCACAGGTCCCCAGGAGGGCAGCTTGGAGGTAAGAGAGGGACCTGAATCATGGGGGGACTGGGCCTTCCCTCTGAGCTGGAGGCTCGCCAGGAGAGCCAGACAGGGCAAGTAGAGGGGATGCAGGTGAGAGGTCTTTGCCACAGCCCCGTGGTGGCTGGACCTGCTGAGCAGGGGCTGGGCTTCCTTTGTATTTTGAAGGTGGAGCAGACAGCTGGAAGATGGAGCTGCCCGGTGCTGAGGCTGCAGGGTGGGCTGGGGAGGGGAACAGAGGGGGCATTTGCCTTGTCAAATCTGAGGTGCCCAGGTGAGCCATCATAGGGGACAGGGCAGGCAGGAAGGGTTATGGGCGGACCTCCTGCTTGGACCTCACTGGCGGCCAAGCCCTCAGGTAGAAAGCGCATTCCACTCTGAGCCCGGGCAGCTGGCTCCAAGGTCAGGGGTGGAGGGTCCCTCACGGAAGGAACGGGGGCCACCGCACAGGGGAAGGGCAGAATGCCTTAGATTCTGCACCGCCCCTGGTTTGGAGGGAGAGAACCTGGTTTCTGACAAGTTGTTTCATCCTGTTACGAAATGCAGGTGTGTGTTGAAAACATAGCTCCAGGCTTTGGGGCTGGCCCCCTCCTGGACCCTCCAGCCTCTAGCGGGGTCAGCAAGCCCCGCATCCTGTGTTTATGGATAAGCAGCGGCTTGGGTCAAGCTGTCCCAGGCAACTCGGGACCTGAGCGAAGGCCACTGAGGGGCGCCCGAGGCACCTGCCGCCCACCATCCCTCAGCCAAGCCAGCAGGGGCCCCGGCGCTGCGATCCACCCCCTAGCGAGGCGGTTGCGCATCGTCGCGCGGCTTCGCAGAAACCCCCCCCCGCCCCCCCGCTCCGCCCCGGCCTGCGCCCTCCAGCCCCGGGCTCCAGCACTCGGCGGGCCGGTAGGGGAGGGAGATGGAGGGGACCGAGCGCCGACGTAAGGAGGTGAGGTCAGGGCGACCGGTCGGCCCGGGGTGGGCGTGTGCAGGCTAGGCGGGCGTGCCGAGAGCGTGCGGCGGTGTCCGCGCTCGCGTGAGCGCAGCGGGGGCGGGAAAGCCCCGCCCCGGGGCTGCCGGATTAAAGGCCACGCAGGCGGGCGGGGACCGGGACAGCCGCCCGCACCCGGAGTGCGCTGGGCTCCCCGAGGGTCCCGCACGTCCAACAGCTCCGCGCAGCGCGTCCCGCCGAGCGCAGCAGCACCCACACGCCATGAGCGTCCGCACAGGGCGCTGAGCCGTGGCTGAGATGTTGGGGCGCGGGGCTCGGGGCTCCGATTGGGGGTTGCTGCTGGCGCTGCTGCTGGCGCTGGGCGTGCTGCCGCGGGTGCGGGGCGTCGAGGAGCCTGGCAGCGCCCACGAAGAGAGCCAGGGTTTCCAGGTGGTCACCTTCAAATGGTCCCATGTCCGGGACCCGTACATCATCGCGCTGTGGATCCTCGTGGCCAGCTTGGCCAAGATCGGTAAGAGGCCCGGGGCTCGATGGGTCTCGAGGTCATGGCCCCGCTGCGACTTCTCCTTCCACTTGCCCCCGCCCGGCTCGCGGGGTCTGCGCGGCCCCGCCTGCGCCCCCGGGTACAGAGCGGCGCGCCCGCGTCCGCCCTCCTCGGGGTCTCCGCGGGGCCCGCGATCTTCCCCGTCCGGCGCTAGCTGCCCCGCAGCCGGGCCTTGGAGCGCCGCTGCCAGCCCCCGGGAGTCAGGCCTTCGGCCTGAGCCGGCAGGCAGAGCGAGGCGCGGACTGCGAGCCTGGCCGGGCCCGGAGCGGCCGTGCCGGTCGCCGAGGGTGACGCGATCCTGGCCAGGCGGGCGCAGCCTCCGGAGCTCCGCGCGCGCCGGGCTCCTGGGTTTGGAGTCCGGGGCTCCCGTCTGCTGCACCCAGGCCTGCAGATGTCGCGAGGTGCTCCTGCCCTGGGGCGCCCTCAACCAGGTGTCCTGTCTGCGGGCTTTGGGGGCTGTTCCATGCCGGGAGAAAGAGCAGGTTCTTGCCATCAGCACGGCAGGGATATTTGGTTCTCAGCGCAGAAAGAAACACCGTGCCACTCAAGATTCAACCCAGTAAAATCCTATTCATAGGAGCAATTTTTCCATTGACAGTGTTTCTCTTTTAAAAAATCCTGGTCTGTCAGATTTCTCTTAACTTGCTCCAGTGAGCCAGCAAGTGGGAACCGCAAGCAACTCCCGGGCAAGGTGATGGGAAGGTCAGCCTTCCTAAGAGCGTATGAGGACCGGAGTTTCAACATGTCGGACCACCACGGAGGGTCTTCCGGAGGTGGTGGAGAGATGGTGGCCTGTGTGACTTACCAGGTGGAGCCTGGGGGGAGGGTGAAGGTGGGGGTCTGAGGACACCCTCCCCAGGGAAGGGCAGGAGGCAGGGACTTGGGGATGGGGAGGGACACTGCAAATTGGCGAGGGCCCCTCCTGGGGCATTAGGCTCTGACATGTTCAGCAGGACAGGAGGGTCAGGCTCTGGGGAGAACCTACTAGAGAATTTGGGGCCTGGGGTTTGGGGTGCCTGGAGCGCTGGTGGCGCTTGGATCCATTGTGTCCCGGTCAGCACCGCCTGCTCTCTGTCCTGCTCTGTGTCCTGCCTCCCTGGAGGTCCCTCTCATTTCTGCTTTCTGGTTGTTGAAGGCACTCGCCATCCCTCTGCCTCCTCCTCTTTCCTCAGACGGCTCTTCATGTCTGTCCCTGGCCCCAGCTGGCTGTTTGGTCTCATGCTCACTCTGTCCGCACTCAGTTTTCTGGGGTTTTGTGATACCAGGGGTAAAACTCCAGCACCCACGTGAAGTCTCATGTTGTGTCTCTTCCGAACACGTCTGCCATGGCGGAATGGCTGACACTTTCCCCCGGACAGGTCCAGCCCCAACCTGGGGCTCTGAGAGCCCTGTCCTGATACCCACACTGGAGTGACCCGTTTCTGGTGGGGGGTGGGGCTCTTGTCCTCTGCCACCTTCTCTCTCTTGTGAAACCACCATAAGAGTGATTGGTGCAGGGTGAACCCGTGACACTCTGGGGGTCCACACCTAGGACATGGAGCACCCTTCTCTTGTAAAGCAGATGTGTGCTTTCTTTGCGAGCTGGGGCCTCTCCTAGTCCCGCCCCGGCATCCAGACATGGAGCCTGGCATCTGAAGTTCCGGTGACAGCCACCAGTGCTCCCTCTGGTCAGTAGGACCTCAGGGGAGAGACTGCGGAAAGGCTGGTGCACTGACCTGAGTGTCTGCCTGGCCCCAGAGTGTGTTGTTCACCCAGGAAGAGCCATGTCCCTGCAACACCTCGGACTTGTCCTGAGGGCGCCTTCTCCAGGGTGGGGTGGCCACCCGCTCCGCCAGCTCTGTGTCCTGGTCAGGGCAAGCCCAGAATCCGTTTTCTTACCCACACTTATTTAAAAAGGCTCGCTCTATATCTGCATTCCATTGCTGTCATCTGGGATTACTGACTCCCCTTGAAGGGGCAAGAGTCAAGCCTTGGTGGAGACTTTGGGGGGTTCTCAGGGCAACATGGCAAGGACCCTAAGGGAAGACCCATGGGGCTGACACAGCCGCACCTGCAGAGCCCTCCTGCTCTGGGCTGAGCCCTGCCCTGACTCTCCTATATTTGGAGGTTCCCACTGTGATGGCATTGTGGTCTCACGAGGGAACAGGCAGCACCTCAGAGAGACTCACTCTCCCCATCTGAAAAAGTAAGTCAGGACTCTCCCCACACCCAGCCCCACTCCCAGCCTCCCCCTCCCCGTCCCTCCCTCGCGCTCACCACTTCACTCCCAGACCCTGCAATCTGCTGCACTGACCCTGCCCAGGTCCCCAAGGTTCTCCTGGTGGCTCAGTATGGGCCTCAGGTGACACCTACCTCTGCCATTTCCTCTGCAGCCCCCCACCCCCTTCCACTCTGGCCCTTTCCCCATCGCCCCTCAGCTGTCCCTCCTCCATCCACCTTGGAACCCCACCCCCTGCCGTCTCTCAGCCTTCCAGACCTTAAAACCAAACCAAACCTTAGCAAACAAGCCAGACCCCCCTACTCCTGTTCAGCCCCACAAACCAAGAGTTGCAACAAAGCACTCACCTCATCTCCGTGGTCTGCCTGCACTTCTGACCAGACCCAGTGACCTGGAGCTCCACCCCTCCCCACCCCCAGGATCCATTGTTCTCCACAGTGACAAGCAGAGATCTAACAGGTCAGGGTTACACCCCAGGGGTTCCCCAATGCCTAGCCCACCGCCCTGCCTGAAGGTAGGAAACCCTCTGCCATGTGGCTCCTCCCCCTTCCTGCCCCACAGACCTGGCTCCCAGACCCCTCCCTGTGCAGCGAACCCTAGCGCCCCTTCTCACAAGCCCCCACAAAGCACTCCCCCACACACCTTCACCTGTATCTGGGTGCAGCCTGGAGGCCACGTGGCGGTGTGTCCGGTCTGTGCATACATGAGGGGAAGGCATGGATCCTGGTGTTCTTCCTTCTTGACCCCACAGTCCAGGGTTCATGCTCCTGAACCTCTTTGGCCCCTTTCATCTTTTAAAATGGTCAGGCTATTTTGCTTTCAAGGCACAGAAACAGAAGAAAAGCAGGTTTCTATGCATTTCCAAGCACTTGCCAAATGTCTTACCAGTGGCTTCAAGTGCTCATTTTAGTCCACATCCCACCTTGCGCTGCAGAGGTCAGATTTCTTCCAGCCACGTATAACCTGCCGTGGACCCTCAGACAAATGTGTTGAGGCAGCTTCCCACCTCAAGCAGCTTGGGACAGAGAAAGACCAGAGGGCAGGGTCATGGCCACCAGCAAGTTGGCCCAGGAGTCTGGGTTCACCACTGGAAGCAGCACTTCTGCACGGATGAGAAAGGAGTGGCTGCTGAGCCCCTGGACCCCAACCCCTAAGACCCCGTGCCTGGGGCTCAGCAAAGGACTTATTGTAAGCATTTGGGACTCCAGGGGCCCCCTGCCTGTTACTGTATCTTTAGGAAATTCAGAAGGCCAGGGAGCCCACCCATAGGTGGAGCCTGCTGGACCGGAGAAGTTGAGGGCCCTCCTGCAGTGGGATAGTCTCTGTCCCCGAGTGGGGGTATAGTTCCTTCCTCTGGGCCCTTGGGGATTCCTGAATCTGCAGCTTCCCGCACCAGGGTCCCTTTGGGCCTTAGGCCAGCCTGGGCTTTCTCCTCTTAATTGTGTTCTCTCTCCTCAGACCCTCCTTGGGGACCAAAGGCTGGGCCGGCACCAGGCTCAGTGGCCCACATTGGCCGTGCAGGGGTCGTGAGGCTGTGGAGCACTGGGTGAAGGGCCCTCCTGGGGGTAGGGATCCAGGCAGCTTCTGGAGACAGAGCTCCGGGGGTGGCAGGATTATAGGACAGTACTTCTGGGGGAAGAGGGAGGTTAGAATGTTGAAGCCAGAGGAGGCCGAACCAGCACAACCACAGACCCTGGAGGACTTTGATCTCTACCCAGAGTGGCACAAAGGGGAGGGACTTGAACAGACCTGGGCTCTTAGACTATTACCTTGGTCGTAGGGCAAAGAATGGACAGGAGGGGCACCAGAGGGGATTCTGGGGGAGGGGTAGTTCTAGGTTGACAGGGTCTTTTTATTGCCAGGCATTAGGTAGGGGATTCCAGGGGACAGACGTGGCTCAGCTGTCAGCTGACATCCCAGTGGGTCCAGGGTAGAGGTGGACACTGGGTCGGATCGGGGAGGAGCCTCCTGAGAGGGTGGGAGCGGTGAGGGGGGTCGAGATCCTGCCCAGGAGGAAGCCTGAGCCATAGGGAGAGCCCTGGACAGAATGGGCTGCAGTGGCAGAGGCCAGGGTGAGGGGCAGTGTCGGTGTGGGTGGGCCGTAGGACACCCAGTCTGGGGACATGTCTTGGAAGTGGGCTCATGGCGCTGATGGGCTGGAGGTGAGGGCGCCCCTGACGTGGGCCGGCTGGGAAGTGGTGGGTTCACTCTCTGAGCCTGAACGTTTCTGCTCTCTCCACCACGGCCTCTCTTGGGAAAGGGGCAGCCCGGGCTCACACCCCACCCACTCAAACCGGGTGGAAACACCCCAGGAGGACCCCAGTGGCTGATGGGCCCTCTGGCTTGGAAGGCTGGGGGCTCAGGGGTGGTGGCGAGGTGGTCTTTCCTGGTCGCCTCCCCCGGTGCCCTTGGGGCTTTGCAAGCCCTTGTCACCCCTGGTCTTAGGGGAAGAGCACCCGGGGGGGGGGCCCAGGGCCAGGTGTGCGGCGTCCGGAGCCTCTGACCCGCGCTGTGCCTCCATGGGAAGTGCCTTCCCCTAGTTATGCTCCAGGCAGGGTGCCGCCCTGGGATCGTGTCTTTGACGTGCCACTGCTGGCTTATCAATCCAGTCTCTCGAGCCTCCGGGCCCTGTGTTCCTGGGCCCCAATTCTTGTTGCTTCCAAAGCCCCTTCCCATCATTGTGATTGTGCCCTTGATGGGGGCGCGTGGACCGACGGCCTGGGACATCCCTAGCACTCCACCCACACCCTCCGCTGTGTTACCCAGGGCACCCGGACCCCCACCTAATCTGTGTATTTCTCTGAGGTACAGCCGTGGGGGCTGGGCATCTGGCCCAGGCACGTTCCCAGGCTGTGGGGGAAGCCATGGGGTGGTGTTTACCTCCTGGGGTTAAAACCAGAAGCTTCTGGTTTTGACTTAATGTGCTCTGGTCCTAGGACCAGGAGCCCCTAGTGCTGAGCCTCACCCTTGTCCTGCTCTTTCCTGTGGGTTCCTGGGCACTCTCCATCATGCTCTCCTGCCTGCTTCCACTGAATTTCCCTTACTCCCCTCGAAGGAATGCATGAGGAG